CTGTGCAGCTGACGCCCTATCCCGCTTCCCCTCCCTCAGGGCGGCGCCTGATGCGGAGGACATGGACCAAGAGGAGGACCTGTGCGCTGCAGTGTGTGCAGTCACAATCGCAGCACTGGATCAGGATGGGTGCATCACTATGGACGAAGACACAGTATGCAAAGCGGCTGCGGACGACCCAGTGTACCAGATTCTAGTGTCGAGGGTGCTGGCGGGCGACTGGCACCCCCACAAGTCGCAGGAGGTGGCCTGTCTGCGCCCGTACTTCTCGGTGAGGGACAGGTTGGCTGTGGTCAGGGGTTTGGTCACCTACACCTTTGACCAGGGCTGCGTGCGCCTTGTCATCCCCGACTCCCTCCGCCACCGGGTCGCCGTTAACCTGCATGTGGGGCACCAGGGCCTCGACTCAATGCTCAGGCGGGCCCGGCAGTCTGTCTATTGGCCTGGCATGGAGGGTGACCTGCAGTATCATCGGTCCCGGTGTGCTGCTTGCGAGACCCACGCCCCTTCCCAGCCTCCGGAGTCGTTGGTTCTGACCCCAGCGCCAGACTATCCCTTTCAACAAGTGGTGGCCGATTTGTTCCACCTGCAGGGCCGCACGTACCTAGCATATGCTGACCGACTGACAGGTTGGCTGGAGATCGCCCACTTCCCCAACGAGGCCACCTCTGGAAAAATCATCGCCAGTCTGCGGGCCTACTTCACGAGGTGGGGGGTACCTGAGCAGATCTCCACAGATGGAGGTACCAACCTTGCCAGCCTTGAGATGACAGATTTCCTCAAGTCATGGGGGGTCGAGGTGCGCCTCTCGTCGGCCCACTTCCCCCAGTCAAATGGCAGGGCAGAGGCTGGGGTCAAGGCTGCCAAGAGGCTCCTCAGGGATAACACTGGGCCCGGGGGTAGCCTGGACTGCGATAGGACATCCCAGGCCCTCCTCCAGTACCTGAACACGCCTCTGCGGGGGGTGAACAAGTCGCCCGCCCAACTTGCCACCGGCCGCCAGCTCCGTGACGGCGTTCCCGTGGCCAGACAGCACTATAAGGTGGACCAGCACTGGCGGCGGGCACTTCGTATGAGGGAGGTGCGCTTGGCCGAAACACAGGATGGGGTCCTGTCGCGGAGGGAGGTATCCCGCCAGCTGGCTCCCCTAGTCGTGGGCACGCAGGTGCGTGTGCAGGACGCAGCTACCAAGCTCTGGGACAGGACAGGCATAGTGGTGGAAGCCCGCCCTCACAGGCAGTATGCCGTCAGGTTGAGTGGCAGTGGCAGGGTGTCCATCCGCAACAGACGCCACCTGCGAAACGGCTCCACACCTGTGCCTACTACTCCGGTGGTGCACCAAGCTGTGCCTCCTGGCCCCCCTTCTGCTGTGCCCTCCATACCCGCGCCCTCCTCCGCACCCACGGCCCCTCCCCAGTCGAGCGCGGCCAGGCCCAGGAGAGGCCGTAGGCCTCCGGGCTGGTTGACGGACTACGTGGTGTAGTGTATGTGATGTAAAATCAGTTTAGAGGTTTTTTTTTTGGTTTGTTTTTTTCCTTTGTTTGACTCGTTTTTCCTGCATTATTGTTGTTTTTATGAATGCATTGTTTTCCTTTTGTTAGTTCAAATGTGCATTGTCATTTCCTTTTAACTTGGGGGGGGGGAGATGTAAGATTGTACCATCGTACGATATGTTTTCCCATGTTGAGATGGGGGCTTGTCTTTGGCAGCGCCCGGTCGCCAGTCACCAGCTGACGCTGTTAGAATAAAGTCTACAAAGAACGTGGTCTATGACTCCAACCTCTCACATAATCTGAGTTAATAGATCGCGTGCATGTACCGAGGGAGCGAGTAATTACCCAAATGTACCCAAATGTAGCCAAATGTAGCCGCAATGAAGTCAAATGATGGTCGAACAAGCGTAAATCGGTCTGTGAATCACTTCTCGATTATTATTTGGTGTCATAAAGTCACAAAAATTTGGTAAACTTAGTTTAATCTGAGTTGTGTTATGTTAGGTTAGGTTAGGTTAGGTTCGGTACATGCACTTAATCTATTAACTCAGATTAAATTAAGTTTACCAATTTTTTGTGACTTCGTGACACTAAATACTAGTCGAGGTTAGGTTAGGTTAGGTTAGGTTAGGTACATGCACTCGATCTATTAACTCAGATTAAATTAAGTTTACCAATTTTTCGTGACTTCGTGACACCAAATACCAGTCGAGAAGTGATTGGCAGTCCGATTTATTCATGTAGGACCATTTTTTGACTTCATTGCGGCTACATTTGGGTACATTTGGGTAATTACTCGCTCCTTCGGTACATGCACGCGATCTATTAACTCAAATTAAATTACGTTTTCCATTTTTTTTACTTTGTGACACCAAATACTAGTCGAGAAGTGATTGGCAATCCGATTTATTCATGTAGAACCATTATTTGACTTCATTGCGGCTACATTTAGGTACATTTGGGTAATTAGTCGGACCCCATATAACTACCAGGTTCAACTCCTGGGCATATTGCAGACTCAGTACTTTCTTCTTTACTTATTTTCTTTACTCAACAGTAATTACTCAGATCTTACACTCTTAATGCACCCAATCTTACTGGTGTTACATTACATGGCAGAGCAGGACCAGTTCCTTGGCCCTACTCACAATACATAGTACATGGCACTCATTGTAGATTACTTTACTCAACATACTCGTTAATAATTAAATCAGCAGGTACCTGGGGTCCACTACCCAACATGGGATGATTATTTCCAACTAATTATCCCTAACATACATCTTACAACACTCTCTGTTGACATATACTTCCAAGGAGAAACCCAGGGTAGAACACTGGGGCTCACGACCGTTGTTGTGGTCGGTAGTAACCAGACACATGGCGAGTCTGGGGTCTGGCCCAACGAGGCAGTGGAGCACATTAATCAGGCCGCATCGGTGCCATCGTTTCATATATGGTCCCTGCTGGGTATCTACTACTTCCGGGGCAGTTGTTGAGCTGTTGAGCGATGCAAGAATCACAATGGGATCTGGAGAAACATTGGAGCAGTGTCAGGGGACGGACTGGGAAGCATGACAGCACAAACAGTTAACTGATGAACACTGATATTCACTACAATTGACTGAGTTAACTGAATGGCTACACATAAACATACCTGGAGAAACATTGGAGCAGCGTCAGGGGACGCTCTCCTTGAGAGATGCACGGGTATAAATACCCCTGAGTTGCCAGTGATCGCTACTCATGCAATGACAATAATCACAAACAAACTAACTGTTACTCATTCAAAGATGACCCTCAGTTGACAAAGGTCTAACGAATTACTTGAGTTGATATACACAGTCTAATTCAAGATTGAGCTTCCCAGGAGAAAGTGGAATAACAACGCACTGATAACTGTCTTCACAAAGGCGGGACTCTGGGAGGGGACACAAGTGTAGCGTCTGTGGGGAAAAACACGTCTTCTCGGGGGTCGCTAACTCACTCATGTTTTGCGGTCGTGGAGTTTAATAAGAATCATTAGTTAAATAGATCAGCAGTCATCGTGACCATGACACTGACACAGCCCCTGCTCCTGACCCAGACCCACACATCCCAGCAGGCGTATCTGAGGACTCTGTACCTGCTTCGAGAGAAGCACAACATTCATCGCCTGCACAACCCTCCTTCTCCCTCTCTTCTCCCATAGATCTCGTGTATCTAGACAAAGTTGTCTCCCCTAGCGGCCGGCTCATCCACGCCCTCGCCGTTATGTCTCACATGTGGCATACAACCCAGCCGACAACAAGTCTCCTGCACCGCCCGTTCTGCCTCACATGTGGGATGCAACCCTGCAGACAACAAGTCTCCTACACTGCCTGGAGGGAAGGGGGAGTATTGTAATGGATTCCACCCCTACAAACGCCCTTTGTCGCTGACTAGCCGACCCTCGAATTCCCCAGTGTATGCCTCCTGGTCTACTTCAGCAACCAGCGCCGCCTTACATGACTGAGGTCAACTATTAAGCCACGCCTACCTCTGCTATATAAGACCTCACCTCGTGGTAACCTATCTCTATCTACCTACAGCCACCAGCAAGCAACACCTCCTCCTCCGCTCCTGCCTGGCGGCTCCCGCTCCAGCCGGCGACCATGGCGACCCACAAGCTGGTCCTCCTCTGAGCACCCTCACCAACCAGCTCTCTCTACTCAACGCTTGTAACCATGCTGCCTTTCCAGCACCAAGCTGCATTGTACATCCAATACAATATGTATACAGAGAGCACATTGTGAGTTTCCTTTCTTCATCTCATCCAAAGTGTGAACCAATATCTCGTACCCAACACGCTGGCCCCACAAGGGGTCGCAGCTCAAAGTTCAGGTTAAAGTCAAAGTTACCTATAGATTATCGTAAGGCTGGCGCTTACTTAAATTATCACGAGAAGAAGGTAAACTTTTGAAGATGTCATTCCCCATAACACATTAATTTATTTGGTTTGTAAGAATGTACCAGTAGTAATTTATAATAATAATGCTTCGTTACATTATACTGGTCACAGAATACTCCCAGGCGGCTAACGAGCAGATCAATGGCGAAGAGGATAAATGTAATACTCAAACTCATTTATAGCTTTAGTCAAAATTTGCTCTGGTTCTCCTGAAATCATCTAGCAATAAAATGACTGATGTTGGGTGTTGGCAACACTGAGCAACACCAATTGGTTCAAGTTTATACCGTGCAAAATATAGTATTAACCATATATATAATATTTGCCATATATATATTATTTTATTTTTAAAAGACTAAAGAAATCAATACATTTTGGTAATTGGAGTAAATATAAATAACATTGGTGAATTCTTTGTGAACACAAAGCAAAATGTATTTCATCCAATTTTAGTCAAATGTTCTTTTATATATTTCTTAAAGATTTTGAACTTAAAAAATAAATAAATGAATGATAAAGTAACATATATGATTAATTCAGAGTTAATGATGTTAAGTAAATTTTAGGTTCGTTTAGTTCAGTTTGTAAATAAACAGCACCAAGACATCCCGTCCGCCACCAGAACTTATTACCCAGAAATTTATATTCTACTTCATCAAAGGTAAATACTGCAACACTTCATACTTTACAACTCTTTAATTAATAATGTAGTTAGATATTAGGTAAACGTTTACTTAAGTGTTGCGAGTGATTTCGCCAGCATAATTTTTTTCCTGCATGAATTTTGGTTTTTTATTGGAGATATTTTTGGAGGGTGGGGGGGTGGGGGGTGGAAACAAACAAAAGATAATGTTTTCCTTATTTAACCTAACATAACCTAACCTAACCCCCTAGCCGGGGGGACCCCCCCCCCCTTGAGTGATTATATAATGTTGTCAGTATTTAACTTATCCTTATTTAACCTAACTTAACATATTTCCCTATTGGGGAAACGCTATTTTTTCAGCGTTGGTTCATGTATTATATAGCATGGTAATGCGATTCAGACGACCCGTGCACCACTCACTCCCCCTCCCATGGCTCGCCGATGGGCTCGCCAACAGTATTATAGTATAAATTATAGAAAAGAAACGCTTCCCCAAAAGAGCACACTATCACGAGCAATTAGCAAAAAAAATTATGATGGAGAAGCAGCATTAATATACACGGTAACCTTAGAATCAAATGAATCGCACTAAAACCCTAAGGAAAAAGATAGGTTAATATTAATCCATTGGCTGAGCGCAAGTTCCCGCCATGTTTACCTGAAGTTATACTCCACGTAAAGTCAGTTGTATCCTCCTTTCCTCCTCCTCCTTTTAAGTTAGGTTAGGTAGGTTGGTTCTTTTGGTTTGAGAATAGGTTTTCTTTTGTGTTTTTTTGGGGTGTTTTACTCAAATCTGACCTCTATTTTTGTGCATATTATCTGTTTGTTAAAAATGAATTTTTTTATTTTTTGGCCAAAACCGCCAATTTGCATGAGAATTGAAGGTCAGATTTGAGTAAAATGACGAAAAAAAAAAAAAAAAAAAACTTATTCTCATACTCACAGATGATCTTCTGGAAGAGGCTCACGCCTGTGACTCTGGCTCAATAGCCTCTTCTCTACTCAGACGGTGGCTGCGTGTGGTGGATATTTGTGCCCTATAATTATATACTTGTTCTTGATTTTTCCAGTATTTATCTAATTTTGCTTCAAACTTTTCCACCGTCTCCACATTCACTACCCACTCAGGTAACCCATTCCAGTTGTTGACAACCCTACTCGGGAACGAATGTCTTCTGAGATTTAGCCCCGCTCTTCTTTTGTAAATCTTCTTTGTGTTCCCCCGGGGTAGTGTCAGCCTCCCTCTTCTGGTACATTCCTGCTGTACATGTCTGGTCATGTATGCCACACACTATCTTGTATGTTTCCACTTGGTCCCCACGAGATCTTTTGTACGCCTGTGTCGGTAACTGTAATTTCCTTGGTCTTTCCTCATAAGATAAATCCTTTATCTGTGGTACTAATTTGGTAGCCCTCCTCTGTACACTCTCTACTGCTTCAATATCCTTAATGAGATATGGGCACCAAATTTGATTAGCATACTCAAGGTATGGTCTAACCAGAGCAGCGTACAGAGCCTTGAATATAGGTGCATCCAGATGAACAAAAGTTCTTCTTATAATGCCCACTATTTTATTAGCCTCAAGGACAACCAATGGACGAATATTTATCAAAAGATAATTTTAAGCCTCAAAGGATTTGGGTGTTAATCAGGAAATTTACTTTTATTGTCTTACTTCAGTTTTGCCTCACTTATACTACAGACAGGCAAGGGGGTACCTAATTGAGGTGTATAAACATCTTAAAGGGCACTACTCTGTCGAGTGTCCTTATCTGGAGCTGGCGGACGCTCGCCCTGCAAGAGGTCACATCTCAAGCTTGAAGAAGCTGCAAGTCCAGAAAACTGTTTGGGGTAAATTTTTCAGAGTGAGAGTTGTGAACTCTTGGAACAATGTGCCAGAGAATGTTGTGACGGCACCGAGTGTGAGCTTTTTCAAGACCAGACTTGACAAGCACTGGGGCAGGTTCAGATACATTCTGGAGCCAGTGCATGCCCAGTGTGTAACAGATGTGACCAATCTCCCAAGTGGCTAATGAGCTGATCAGTGGCGAAGAGGATAAAAGTAAAAGTATAATACTGTACTGTACAGTAGTACCCCGATTTACGCGGTCAATTGAACCCACAGGGTACCGCGTAAAGTGAACAACAGAACATATGGGATTAATTCCAATAGAGACTGGCCCAACCCCCAAACTCCACTTTTTGACGACACACAACTATGTTGTAGTAAAAATATTATCTTAACTTTATGATGGTATGCACACAAAATTAATATAGAAGAGGTTAGGTTAGGAAAAATAAAGGTTAAGTTAGGAAAAATAAAGGTTAGGTTAGGAAAACTAAAGGTTGGGTGTACCACTTACGTTAGTAGAAGAGATGGGTCGGCATACGGGGATGGAGGCTGGTTCCGAGGCAGAGGGCAGATTACTGGCCCTCAGGTGAATCACCATTACTAGGTGCATCACCATCACTATCAGTTATAGTTGTCAGGGCTTCCCTGACAAATCCCTCAGTCACTTTCACTGGCTCTGGCTGGCTGTGGTGGGTTGCGGGCGAAGAACTCGGTAATGCTTTTTTGACGGCTAGTGTTGATGTTGTCTTGATACACCTTGATGTACAGCTCCATAGCCTGCACCAGCCGGGTATGGAAGACTTCATAGCAGTTATCGTCAAGGTCGTTGGAAAGGAAGAGCTTTAATTTCTCTGCACACTCGATGGCACCCTTAATATTACTATGCGTTAATTTGTGTTCTTCTGGGATTGACGCACCACCTTCCTCTTCACTGACGTGATCATCTTCCAACATCTCGTCGGCAGTCATTTCAGGATCTCTGATCACCTCCAGGATGTCTTCGTTGGTGGTCTCGGAGAAGCCTTCAGCTGTAATACTGTGCGCAGCTTCTCTTGCAAGGTCCAATGCCACTGTCACAGACTGAACCTCACCAGTCACAGGTTGACTCCGCCTCTCACCTGGTATACCATGCAACACATGCCTCCATGCGTGACGAATTGTAGCTATAGACAGCTGATCCCATGCCTCCACCAAGAAGTCTACAGCTTGTTTGACGTTAAATATTTTCCAAAACTGTTTGACGAGAACTTCTTGAGTCACCACCTCTTGTTCCTTGTCCTCGTCACTTTTGCTCTCGCTATCGGTGTCACCCAGCTTACGCAACTCATCCTTGGTGCTGGTACAGTCGTTCAGGAGCTTGAATTTCTTTGCCGAGTATGCAGCTTTCACATTGTGGATCAACTCCTGGTCCATGGGCTGGATTAATGACGTAGTGTTGGGAGGAAGGAAGACCACTTTTACGTTGGGGTGATGATCCATAAGTAGGGGCGAGTGTCCTGGTGCGTTGTCAAGGAGCAACAAAATCTTGAATGGAACATTTTGTTGCTCGCAGAATTTCTTCACGTCGGGAATGAAACAGTCATCAAACCAGGAGAGTGACATAGCAGAGAACATCCACGCCTTGCGTGCGGTCAGCCAGTGGACATTAATCTTGCTCATGTCTACGTTCTTGTAGGCGTGCGGCTTGCGGGCTGTGTGAATCACCGATAACTTTGGTTTACAGGTACCGGAGGCATTGGTGGCAAAGAGGACGGTGATGCGCTCCTTCTGCAACTTCCGACCCCGAACCTTGCTGGCAGACTGGACAACAAAGGTCTTGGTAGGCAGCTTTTTCCAAAATAGGCCGGATTCGTCCTTGTTGAACACCTGGTCATCAGTGAACTGCCCTTCCTCCATAACCTCACGTAAGAACGGAGGAAAATCTCTAGCCGCCACACGGTCAGCACTCGCTTCTTCACCACCAATGTTGATGTTGGTGATGTTGTTCCTCCTCTTAAACCTATGCAGCCAACCAGAGGAAGCATTGAAGGGTTTGGGCTCTGCTATTCCCATCTTACGTGACACTGCTGCGTACAGTTCACATGCGTACTCTTGAACAGATCGCGTGTCCACCACCATGTTGCGTCACGCCTGACGAATCAAATAACTCGCAAGCAAATTTTCCACCTTTAGCAGCACCTTGTTCTGGCAATACTTGATCATTGAGGCACCTGTAGACTTTGTGATTCTCATGTGCTCTTTGATCTTGGCTGCATCCTTCTTAATAGTACGAATCGTAGATTTGTTGACTCCATGCTGGCGCTCGAGATCAGCTTGACCTGTTCCTTTCTCCAAATCTTGAATTATCTGGTATTTCACTTCGTAGCTTAGGGAACGTCGTATCTTCTTTGGCTTAGGGCGGCTGGGTCCAGGTAAGGAAAGGTTTCTCTCTGGTGGCGGTGGTCCGGCGAAAGCCATTTCACAGAACAATGGATGCACGTATACACGGCGTGGCCTGGAGGGATGAAACTGCCGCGGTTAGGTCAAGCGGAGGGAGGTAAGGATGCATGGCCAATCACAGTCCGATACGTCATATGACGTCACTGATAACGCAACAGAGACATGCACTGCGCAACCTTACCGCGCGGCTTGCCCAGGTGGAGGCGGGAGCAGGCGGGAGGGTCGAATCTAAAAATAGCGTCGAGCCAAACACTCTGCGCGTATATGGGTAGATGAACCGCGGAAAGTGAAAGTTCGGTTCTGGCGAGGCACCGCGTAAATGAGAAATCGCGGAAAGTGAAACCGCGTAAAGCGGGGTAATACTGTATATTGTTTTGAATCAAGATTTTTGCTCTAAAGTGATTTTGTTTTGTTTCCCAGGTGTACAAATTAACCTTGATTTACCCTTATTTTTACTTTTCACTTTTACTTCTATCCGAGGTACTGTATTATTATCGTTTCGGTCATCAAGTAAAATTTAGAAATTTAAATTTCCACTGTCCCAGATTAGGTTAAGTTAGGTTGAAATTATGTTTTTCCGATTGGTTCTGACCTTTATTTCTATCATAAATTACTTCTTTTTGTGATTTTCCCCAACCCAAAACCCTTGGTTCCCACTGGGGATCCCTCATTATTGTTGGATAAGGGGGGGGTAGCTCAAAAAACAATGATTTGTGGTAGAAA